CTGCTGATGTTTCTGTCGATGAACTCGGTAAACTTTTAGTTGCGGTTCTACTGACGCACGACCCTCGGCATCGGAGTACCGAAGATTTATTCTTCACCAGAGTAGACAGGACTGAGGAGAGAGGAATATTTAATCTATGTGTTAAACACAGCGTATATTGGTGTGCTCCTACACTTCACAGTGTGTGTACCTTCTCTGGTGAGGTTTTCGGCGGCGTCATTGCTTCCCGCCTGAGGTCGTTTCACCGATGTTGTCCATGTGCTCGTGCGTGCGCTGCATGGAAGACGGGCCGAAACACCTTTGTTTGTAGATGATATCTGGGAGCCGTTCCACGACATCGGGCTGCACCACAACAGGAAGAGACACTGGAACACACGAGGAGGGCACAGACAGAGATTACTGGACTTAGTGGGTCACTACTAATGACACTGAGAACTTACACCCCTGAGAAGCCTGTTGTCTTAGACATTTAGACGGGGGGAAGAAGATTGTATCAAGAATCTGTCCCTGTATCACTGGTTCTGTGATGTGTCTCTACACTTAAAAGCGTAGTAAAATGGAAACCAGTAGAGGAAATGTCGGAGAAGAATCGCCCAGTGAGAAGCCGCAATACTCCACCAGTACGTAGCATTTTGTGTCGTTTCTTTGCTCGCACTTTCGATGGCTTTTGATTCTGCAGAAACACGTGGAAACAACCAGAGACACCTGTTTACACCAGTATTACCCTGTGACCTGCATCTGCACACATCACCTGGATAATGACATGAAGATACTCTGCAGATAGACTGAAGTATTTCAGACCGTCAGTAATGATAATAATCACTCTCTGCTCCTTATCATGTACCTGTCATGAAGTTGAAGCAAATTACAGTTTTCTGAATCATCAAGGTTTTGATGAGAATATAATTCTTACACACAGGTAGATTTTACTGCAGGCCACTGGACGCCTGATAAAACCCCACCTACCTGGTGCATCACTGTCACTATCAGCAGATCACCATCAAAAACTATAGAAAACCTCACGAATATAAGCTTGGATAGACGAAGCAATATCAGGTTGCAGAGGAGGGAGGCACCATATCCGTACACAGTAGAGTCCGGTCACTGAGACGGCACCTGGATGAGACGGAGGACACACAGAAGACAAACTGTCAGTCTAACATGATGCAGAGACGTTTAATAGATGGATGGATGATTACTTATATAATTCCAGATGGCAAATTTAAATATCACAGGCAGCTGAGTTAAAAACAATGAAATACATCCATCCATCCATTTCCTACCGCTTATCCTCTAGTAGGGTCGAGGGGGGCCTGGAGCCTATCCCAGCATCCTTTCGGGCGAGAGGGGTAATACCGGCCTGGACAGGTCGCCAGTCCATCGCAGGGCAAACACACAGAGACAAACAACCATTCACTCTCACACATTCATACCTATGGTCAATTTTGGAGTAACCAATCAGCCTAGTCCCCATTTGCATGTCTTTGGACTGTGTGGAGGACAGCGGAGTACGGAGAGAACCCACAAAGCACGGGAGAACATGCAAACTCCAATGAAATCAATAAACAACAATAATAGACAAAATATACACGCGATCCAAGTATAAAATAAATGTTCATGTGGACCAAAGTGCAGGTGTGAAGTACAGGAGGTTTTGATGAGTCACAGAGATGCATTATAAAGTCTGGTTGCTGTAAGCAGGAATGATTTCTATGGCGTTCCCTAGTCTGTTGCTGAATGTACTAAGGTTCGACATAGTTCTATGGAGGGGATGGGTGACATTTGTTCACGATTTTCAGCGTTTTGCCGTGCTGCAGCTACGATTCTGTCCTCAGACCTCTCCGTATACAAACAGCTTCCATCCAACAACAGACTCGGCCTTCCTGATGAGTTTCTTCTGTGTGTTGGCACCTTTACTAACACATTAACACACTGAGTAGAGCTGTCGTTCTCTGGCAGAACATGCACACGACAAACAGGAGTTGTGTAAAAAGTGTCCTACCTCTGATCAGCTTATGTTGCTGTTCACTCATGGAGCCTCTGCTCTGCTGTCGCTCTCTGAGGATAATCTGCTTTAAACTGCACAGACTGGGGGACACTGTGCACCAGGCACTACACTGACATCATGTCCTGCCTCAGCGTGTGTGTGTGTGGTGTGGTGTGTGTGTGTGTGTGTGTGTGTGTGTGTGTGTGTGTGTGTGTGTGTGTGTGTGTGTGTGTGTGTGTGTGTGTGTGTGTGTGTGTGTCGGTCGCGTGTTCTGATCCACGTATGAGCATCAGTGGGGGTATGAATAGACTGCTGTTCATGCTCAGTAAAAGTCCTTGGCTGAATACTGTGACTCTACATTAGGGCAGAGAGGTTTATCACTCTATTTATCTTATAGTCAAAGTTGATCCAGAGCTCAACATCAATGAAAGGCCGTCACCTGTTCACGCCAGGTGTCCTCATACAGCGGAAGGACAGGATCAAATGCTTTTAGCAGGCTTCTTATTTTTAGTACTCAGCTATAATCAATGAACGTTAGTTTTTGTTCTGGTTTGTGAAACCCCTACTGTCATCTGGTAAAGAGTCTGTACGCTGGCCATGGACATTTTTCAATGTGTAAGCTGTAGAAACTGAGCAGAAACTCCAGAAATACACAAGGTGAAACAGAGTGAATAAAAAATTCAGTGTAATACAACAGTCCTGCAAGTGATTCCTCCTTCATGAGGGTTGTAATGTTCAGTTTTTATTGAGAGTGTGTTAAAGAGGAGTTGATTCAACTGTGTGATTATTATGGACTACATAGTTTCTACTGCTGTTGAACTGCACTCCATTATTACAGAGAGGTGTTTTGTTATTTAGCCTACTTTCAATTAATGGTTTGGACAAAATTAATAGAAAACACCTTAGTGTGTACTAATACAGTGTGCTGCCGTCCCAATGCAGTTAGCTGCCCTGTTTTTGCAAAGTGCATTAAACCTGAATGAATGTAAAAGGCATTGTTAAGCGAATGAAGGTAAAGAAAAAAAAAAACTGAGCGATTTAAAAAAATGAAGAGGTACGAAAAGCTGGCAACAGGAAAGGTCTGCCAATCAACAGTCAGTGTTGTGTGATTAGTTTTGACATATGCTCATCACCAAGCTAATCAAATAGCTGATTGGATATTTCTGTGTAACGTCAACTCGCGATGGTAGATCATCGATATGGACGCCTCAACAAATGTAAATGAAGTATAAACTTAACATAAACGACGACGATAACAGAGAGAGAGATAAACTGTATTAAAAGGACCCAAGTTGTCAAGCAATCTCTGTTTTGCATTCTATGGCACTAGTTAGCATCCCCTCCTGTTTCCTATGGGCTACACTTCACCAGCTCACCTGGAACACCTACAGTGTCGGACACCTTTGTGAACGACGCATCGCTTTTATATTTAAGGCCCTGTAAACAAACAGGACACCATTGTAAAGAATGAGGAAACAGAACCGCAATTTGATGGGAACATTATTGTTTATTATATTAATGTTTTTATTATTATTATTATTATTATTAGTTGATGTAGTTATCTATGTATTATTATTATTCACTATTAGATTATGTATCTACTCTTATTATTATTATTATTATTATTATTATCAACAATGAGCTAATGGACACATGGATTTCCCCTAGGAGATAAATAAAGTATCGATCGATCTAACACAAGTTTGCAATCTGTGTTCTCTAGTGTTGTCTGTGGAGCACTAATACATTCTGATTGGTTGCCACTGAACTGAGGTTTCTATCACTTAGCAACCTCAACAACACGTAACCTTTACTCAGAAACTTGAAAATTAACAGTTGAACCATTAGCTGTTGAACTGATCTGAAACACAATACTTGATAGATAGATAGATAGATAGATAGATAGATAGATAGATAGATAGATAAAAGGGATAGATAAATGAACAATAATGTTCCCATCAAATTGCGGTTCTGTTTCCTCATTCTTTACAATGTGTCCTGTTTGTTTACAGGGCCTTAAATAAAAAGCGATGCGTGTACAAAGGTGTCCGACACTGTAGGTGTTCCAGGTGAGCTGGTGAAGTGTAGCCCATAGGAAACAGGAGGGATGCTAACTAGTGCCATAGAATGCAAAACAGAATTGCTTGACAACTTGGGTCCTTTTAATACAGTTTATCTCTCTCTCTGTTATCGTCGTCGTTTATGTAAGTTTATACTTCATTTATCATTTGTTGAGGCTCCATATCGATGATCCACCATCACAAGTCCCAATATGCCCATCTATGGGCATATTGTTTTCAGGTTGTTCGTTCGTTCATCCGTCTCATTTTCATGGACACAATATTTCAGAAAAACCTTAACAGAACTTCTTCAAATTTGGCATAAATATTCACTTGGACTCAAGGATGAACTGATTAGATTTTGGTGGGTAAAGGTCAAGGTAAAGGTCAAGGGAATCCCTTCAAATTTGGCACAAACGTTCTCTTGGACTCAAGGATGAACTGATTAGATAGACTTGAAACTTCACAGCAATTTTGACAAAATTTCACACAAATGGTTAATATTTTTATATGATTCTGGATAAACAGGGATGTAGTCTGAAACTAGTAGAGGAGCCAAACAACCATGAGGTGCTAATTTTAGCTACAGCTGTTTCTATGAAAACTAGGAGCTAAAACAGGCTAAAAAGCTCTGTACAGCTGCTGAGATGGAGATAGTCATTCATTGATGCAGTCATTGGATCTATTGTTGCTATAAATATTGATTAGAGCAATTTTAAGACTTGAACTCTGACCCAGAACATTTACAGGTTCATGTTTCCACAGCTCACAGCAGTATCTGTGCGTAGCTGCCATTTGGCTTGATATTCACAGGAGGATTAACTGAATCCTCTTCACATGCACCAGGTAAAGTCGGTACAAACCCACTGAATACAAACAGAACAACAGCAGAACCATCCAGAACATGTTTATCATGAGCTGAACAGAGTGGACGACAGGAAAACCTCACATACCAGCTGCGATGATCTTCTTCTTTATCCCTGTTTTCTCCTCCAGCTTCCCCAGAAAATCTGTCACCACGTTTTTCTCGTTCAGAAACTTCTCAGCTCGGTCTCTGATGGAGAAGAAGACGTCCAGTAGGCCCATGGTCCTCAATCAGGTCCTCAAACAACAGCGGAGTCAGAGGAAAGCGACCGGTGTGGAGTGCAAACACAGCAGAGTGTAATCCTCTGACAGAGAGGATCTGCTTTAAAGAGGAGGAGGAAGAGGAGGTGCAAAGACAGGAAGTAGCCACAGCCACAGGTTAACACACCTATATCTTCATCTTTTCTATACACAAAGAAAAAATAAGAAATGTTATTAAAACATTTAAATAAAAAAAATCACCAAAAGTTAATCAGCCCTGGACCAGACCCGGCATCTGATCACCTGACCACCTGATCACCTGATCACATGACTTACATGTAAACACTGCAGAGACACACAGCAATTCATAAAATTGATGTTACAAGCAATGGATAAGTGAATAGTAAAAATAAAAGCCCTCTATATGTTTTCAGTATTTTCACTTCCTGCTCGGACACATTCACACCTCTCCCAACCCACAGCTGGCACAGCTGGATACATTCATTCTGACATGACGCTGGGACTTAACTGTTTCTCAGAGCTCTCAGATGCTCACAGCTGATCTCCAACCGCCATGTTTCATCCTTTAGTTTCCAGATTTAAGGAGATAAGAGGAGGAGAAGCATTATTTCACCTGTGTTAACTGGACGGTTTTCAGAATAAAAAGATTTTCACCTTTCAGTAAAATACATAGTCAATGTAAATAAATTTAAAAAAAAATTGGCTTAATTTAAGTTTTATTTGTTGTTTTCAGGGGTTCCTATAGGTGTTTATCAGGGATCTGAAGCCCCCCATCACGTTTCTCACACTGGTTCAGGAGTCTCAGAGTCCAGGGCTTTGGTGAAGGGGGAGAGAGATCCAGACAGCCATAACCAAAAATTTCAAAAGTCTGAGTCAGATTTCCATGTCATGTGCTGCTCTCCAGAGGATGAAGCCTCCACATTTGAATGGTTTGCTCAGACTGTGAGAGCAGATAAATCATCCGGATGTAGCTGCAATGAAGCTGGAGACACTTTAACCTGTTCATCTGTAAAAGAGCAGTTTGCTTGTTGAAGCAGCAGATGATGTGATCTGACACTCTCTCCCTCCCTCCCTCTCTGTGATGACAGGATGACAGCAGCAGCAGTAGAGGAGGGGATGAGCCTCTGTGGAGGAATGCATCCTGCAGGCCGACACATGTCTCCATGCTGTCATGTTAGCAGAGAACAAACCTCCACCAGCCTCTGACTGAACCACACAGAGACCTTCTGAGGGGAGATGAGAGGATACAGAGCCATCAAGTACATTTTATTCTTCTGCTGCTACGTCTTCTGGGTGAGTCTCTCTGTCCCTACAATTTGAGGATTAAATGTGTCACTTCACACATTCACACTTTCAGTCGTGCTTGCTCTGAAACCTGTTGCTCAATCTGGTTTTACCACGAGTGATTTCAACACACTCAATACGGCATTTCATAGGAAGAGGACGCTCTGAAGAGCAAAGATTTGAAAAAAACAAGTCGTTTCTTCACTGTGACAAAGTTTTACTAGTTATAGAATGTTATAGTTCAAACAGTCTGGGAGTGAAACATAAAAAGGTCTGAGACCTGTTCACTTAGCTCTATCAGAAGAGGAAAGAGTCCCCCCTCCAACAGCCCCAACGCTGCTGGATTTACATGTTACACAAGTTAAACAGAGAAAATATCAGAGTTACCGTGAGAACAGAAGATGAGGTACAGTTCTGTTCAAATGTGTGTCCGTGTGACTCTGCAGGTTGTGAGCGCCGGGCTCATAGCGGTGGGGGTCTACGCCAAGATCGCCAAGGAGAAAGGTTGGTCAAAAAATAATGAACAGGCTGGAATCAGGCTGTGGAACAACCCGTTATCACTGCAGGAACTTATGAACCAGAGCATTTCAGATACATGACATTGACAGGGTGTTTTGTTCTGGCTGCTTAGAAAGTTGTGGACATTAGTGGAAAGAGTGGAGCTGGTATTGGTTTTGTATTGGTATTGATTTTTGATTTTTTTGTCAGGTTTTCTCTGAATCTGGTCCCTGTTTTAAACCAGCATGTGGTGGGTTTTCAGTCTGTCTGACTTTTTGTCATCGTGATCCTTTATTTAGTAAAATCTACTTAAAAATATATACATTCAGAATATATTTACAATTAATATAGAGCACATACCTGCAAGAAAACACTGTGTAATATCTTCAGCTTGGTCTCTGGACTTCTTCTATCTACAAAATGAAAGAACTTAAACAATAACATTGTCAGAAAATAACACAAAAAAGAAAGAGTGTTAGAATAATACAACTAAATATAAACATTAATAAATTTAACTTGGCAACATGCTTCACAGGTTGCAACTTATTTTTCATAAGAAACAGTAAAATATCCAACAAGCGCATTACTAAATGTGCAGGGATTTAATCTCCAGGAAACAAACAAACAAAATCAGATTAAAGGTCTATTTTTAATCTATCTGACATTTTTAGTATAGCACTTTTTACACAATAAAAACAATACCCACACAAAGTAATAAGAACCACAGTATAAATAAAAACAGGAAGTGAGGAAATGCTGCCATAAAGCTCATAAATTTGCAACAAGGAAACACCAGAGGCAGGAGAGAAATTCAGAATCACAAAATAATAGTAAAAAAAAATAAAAAAACAATAATAGAAAAATGACGTGTGAAAAAAAGCTAATAAAATGTTAACCTAGAGGTAGTGAGTAAAACCAGGAATAAAAAAGTTGGGTATTAAAAGAAAATAAAAACAGACTAAAATGTATAAACAAATAATGTATGAATAAATAAATAAAATCCCTAAAAGTACCAGGAACCTAGATTCAATACCACCTCCTGAACTGTGTGTGTGTGTGTGTGTGTGTGTGTGTGTGTGTGTGTGTGTGTGTGTGTGTGTGTGTGTGTGTGTGTGTGTGTGTGTGTGTGTGTTTATAAAAACTATGCTCTACTGATAACACTCCCGAGGGTGAGCCACAAAAATTTAATCAGACATGTTTGAACCTTCACTGGCTTTTACGCAATGAATTTAACTCTGTGTGTGTGTGTGTGTGTGTGTGTGTGTGTGTGTGTGTGTAGATGTAGTCGACACTCTGACAGTCGATCCAGCTCTGCTGTTGATCGTCGTTGGCTCGGTGATGTTCCTCATCACATTCCTCGGATGTTTCGGGGCGCTGCGTAACGCCACCTGCCTGCTGAAGTTGGTATGACGTGGTCCTCACATCCATTATACATACCATTATTATGGTATTATTATTATCATACCATATTACATTATTAAGTTAAAGTTCTCTATTTAATCTTTGATTTTTAGTGAAATATTTACCTCTTTGGACTAAAAACAGATCTCATCACGTTTAAGGGTTCTGTAAACCATCGTCACGGCCACTAGATGTCACACTAGACCACCAGCATCTCAAGCCAAAACAAATGCTTCGTCAAACACAATCCCCCCATCTCTTCACGTTCTCAGTCAGTGAGGTGTTATGAAGCTCAGTCAAAGTGTCCACTAAATGCACAACAAGAAGCACAACTGTGTGGCTTTGTTCTCTGCTCAGGACGCCATTACTCCACCATCTTTACATTGAAAATAGTTGTTTGCTGCTGTGCTATTGTTTAAAATCTCGTCTACGTAACCTTTAAAAATAAAAAGTAACCGCAGCTGTCAGATGAAAGCAGAGCAGTAAAAAGTAATGGAGGAGTGGAGTAGAAGTATAAAGTGACATAAAAAGAAAATACTCAAGTCAAAGTACAAGGACTTCAAATTTTCCACATAAGTGCAATACATGAGTAAATGTATGTGTAAATGTGTTTGTAAATGATGTCTCTCTGAGTCTAATATGATGCATCCTTACTGTTCACGTCGTTGTCATCACGAGCTGTTGTTTGTTCCTGTAGTTTCTGGGGATCCTGGTGGTCGTCCTGCTGCTGCAGATCGCTGCTGGGGTGGTGGGATATCTCTTCACTGACATGGTAACATCACACTGCTTTGATGGGACAGGAAATGTACATTTAAAACCAGCAACACCGCAGTGTAGAAAAACTGTGTTCCAAGTGAAAATCCTGCATTCAAAATACACAAGTTTCAGCATCAAAATGGACCAAAAGTAAAAGCACAGAAAAGCTAATTTCAGCATAATGTAGATAATAATATTATTAATGCATTAATATAAAGATGGGGCCGATTGTAATGACCTTATTTACTGTTGGGAGCTCCCTCAATGATCAGTTAAATCTTAATTCCTCTTAATCTGTAGAAACACATCATCATTTATTTATTTAGTCATGTAATAAATGTAGAGCAGTAAAAAGTGGCAGAAAATGGAAATATTCAAGTAAGTGCAAGAAGAGTAGTTGAGTAAATGTAAGTAGTTACTTTCCAAACCAAACTTGATGCTGCTGTTGTTCAGGTGATGGAGAGGACGGAGAGGTTGATGATGAAGGCCATCGTCCGATACAGGGAGGACCAGGACCTGGAGAACGCCATCGATTTCATCCAGAAGAAGGTGAAGAAGAAGAAGAACGACTGAGCAGCAGTGGCCTGTTACCGTCCAGTCTGTTGACAGTGAGCTGTTGAAATGAGAGACTGTTTCTTGTCTTTCTTTGCAGTTTCAGTGCTGTGGAGTAGAAAGCTACAAGGACTGGTCCCACAACGTCTACTTTGAGTGTACAGACACCAACCCCAGTCTGGAGTTCTGTGGAGTTCCCTTCTCCTGCTGCATTCACCTGCAGAACCAGGTCAGAACCAACACCCGAGCGGTCTCTGTGGTCCTCAGCAGGTTTATAATGGGACAGGATTTTCTCCATCTTTGGGCTTTTGAAACAGTAATTTCACTAAACAGTTGCTGATAATTTTGCAACTTCTATGAAAGCACTGAACTATATCATCAGTGATACACAAATGAACAACAGGGTATCATCTACATACATGTAAATATTAACCTCGTGTTTCTTCCTGTGTGTGAATCAGACCTGCAGTTTTAAACTCTGTTTGCGTCTCCTTGTGGCTGTGTTCATCTGAGCAAACAACATCCTGATGATTTATTCTTTTAGAGCTTGAACAGTAGTGGAGCTAAAAATTTAAAGTTTGTCCTGTGGAGCGTGGCAAAGAAAAGATCCTGGAGTCACTGATATCTAAAGGGTCCGTCCTCTGGAGAGCAGGAACAAGATATTCTGAGGCTATTTAATCTAAAAATCAGACTGTAGGCTCAGCTAACGTCAGATGGGATTTTCGCATTGTTTTTTTTTTATTTTTTACACTATTGATTGATTTGTTGATTTTTTATGAAAGAAAAAACTCTAGAAAATCTATCACTTAAAGATAATCCAGGGATTTTCCATTAATATAATCAGAAAGACCAATCTCAACACATCTCACACCTCAGCCTTGTGTTATGTTCTCCTGCAGACCGTGCTGAACACCATGTGTGGTTATGGGATGCAGCAGCTGCAGCAGCATACGGCCGCTCAGGGCATCTTCACCATTGGCTGTCTGGAGAAAATCGTATGGTGGGCCAAAAATAACCTGCTGCTGGTGGCTGGTCTGACCGGCGGCCTGCTGCTGCTCGAGGTAACACCAGACCACATCCAGCTGCAGCAGATAGCCCTTGATTGACCCTTGTCTCTGTTGATTCTCACAGTAAATGTTCTGGAGACTTTGTCGTATTAAAGTTCAACCCAATGAAGAAGAAAGAAGGAACTTGCTGAAACTTCAAATCCCAACCAGCCTCCAACCTGAACAATGACACGGGTCGTTTTTTTCAAACCTCTGATACGACCCATAGGAGTGTCTCCTATAGGAGTGTAACTATGGGTCATAATAGTCTGCTGTGACTTATGGGCTCATTTCTTGCAGGAGTACAGTCTCCTATAATCCATCACAGTCAATGTGAGAAGAGGCAAAAACATTTTTACAATGTCCATGTGTGATTGTTTGGCTCTGGGTTTCATTTTTCTAAAGAGTCTGAAAATGTCAGTTTTTCCTTTAATACATTTCCAGAAAGAGGCAACACCTCACAATAATAAAGCAACTTTGGTGACAAGCATGAAAGTTTGATAGCAGGTGCCCTGATCACTTCCTGTTTCTTCTGTCAGGTCTTCATGATCGGTCTGGCTGCCACTCAGATCTCCAGGATAAAGAAAGTCCAACAACAAAAGAAAGAAAATGCAGAGAGAGGGAAGTCGGAGAGGAAGGACAGCTACTGGTATCCTGCTTTTGCAAACTTCGATGATGAATAAAATCTCATTATGACAGATCATAAGCTGTTGTGGAGACAGATCAGGGATGTAATGAGGGATTTCCACTCACTCTGGGTCAGATAATGAGATCTGAACGTTTAGACTTGCTCTGTTTACACTGTGAATTTATAGTTTTAGTCATGTTTCTGATGCCTCAGCAGGACTCAGCTGCTGGAAGTTAAACTACTACCTCTTTAAAACCTTTACATCACATTTCTCATAAAGATAAGAAAGTCAGTTCTGAACAAACTGGTCACTTATAAAATATTTAGCATTTGTAATTCATCACACTGATGTTTGTCAATCTTGATCCACAACATAGAAGTTATTTTTTTATATTATAGAAGCTGTAACTTGTAGATGAATTCAAACTGAACACAGACATTTGCAGAGTTTTCCTCCTACAGCAGACGTTGTGTACTTTGTATTAACAATGTGTATTTTCTATACTGAGTGTGTGTGTTAATGCTGCTGAGAATAAAAAGCCTCACTGTGATGATTTCTACTGAGTTTCATCACAATGAAAATCACAAAGATAATGCAGTGGAGAGTCTAGAGTCTGTCAGGGACCCCTCCAATCAGCATTAATCACAATTATGTAATAAATAATCTGACACCATCAAAAAATGTACAAAATCTAAACATATTTCTTAATCCAAATGTTTATGTTAGTAGAATTTTCAAAATATAAATATAAAGATCAATAAAAACCTAAATAAATAACAAGAAAACTTGTAAATAACCCACATTATTAGGCCAGAAAGTTACTGTCAGTTTATTTTAATTTGATTATTTTGAGATTAAAAATAATGATAATCTTGTATGTATGTGCAGCTTTACTGAAAACAGTTGGCAACACTGCTCCTGAGATATCGCTGCAAATCATCCAGTGAATGACATGGGGCCCCTTTAGGGAGGTCTCCTACTGAGATGTCATTGCAAATCATCCATTGGTTATTTCAGGGGGAAGGAGCTGCATTTTGAGACACTGCTGTGGAGTTAAGTTTGTCAGCCCTCGGGGGGCCCTCTAACATCAATAATCTTCTACTTCACAGCTTCATTTTAACTCTTTATCTTAATGTTATTGTGAACGTTTAATGGTCATGGCCCCGTTACAACCTTAAGCTTCTGATTTACTGGCTGCAACAAGGAACTGCCTCTGTGAAGTCAAACAGTGACCCTCTGCTCTGAATACTAAGGCTTTCCATTAGTGTCCTTGAGAAGAGAAACTCCCAGCATGCAAAGCCAAGAGACCCCTGAGTAAACCTGGTTAATCCTTGTTGTTCTCCCTCCCCCAATAAATCTTCATTGTGACTTTAATCTGTGGTGGAGGATTAGCAGCCGAGGCACCTGTGGTTGCGTGTCGTCGCAGGGATTCAGTCCCGTGCGCCCTCACGCTTGCTTTATTGGATTAATGACCGCAGCACTCTGTGTGTGTGTGTGGGGGGGTTAAAATTAGCAGCAGCACAGAACCATAGTGATCATGTCCTTCTCTCGTCCAGCTTGAAATTTCCACATTCCCTCCAGTTTTCTGTTGGACTCTGCTCTCAGTTTAGGACAGGTTAAAGGATACTCTGGTTTATAACAATTTATTTTTGTCCCTTATTCCTATTAATACCTTTGAACTGAACACAGACATGATGATATTCTCATCTCACTACTAGAGAGAAAGTGAAAGTGTCTCAAAATAAACCTTTTGAAATCTAATTTTCCCCTTAAAGCAAGACTCCAACGTTCAGTCAGCACCAAGCATCAACCTCTGATGCTAAAACATAAAGCCAACACTGAAGAATCAAAACATGCAGTTCCTCTAATGACCACTAGAGTCTGGCTCCAACAGTGAGTCAATCCCCATAGACTCCCATGTTAAAATGACAACTAATATAACTCACCTGTTTACATTTTATGTAAATGTCCAGTTCAGAGACGTGTTTAGCCTAGTTTAGCACATACAAACTACTAGCATTGTTCCATCAAAAGAGAGAAAATATACTTTTTTGGTGCCACTGTAGTAACTAATAACTACAAGAGATTGTACTGGCTCCAAAACATAGTCACGACATAAATCTGATTTCTTGCCTTTAACCTGTTTTATCTGTTAAAAAAATATTGTACTATATAATGTAGAATTTTTGTGAAAGCTGGTTTTTAAACTTGCACACAATCACAGTAAACAGGACACAGACTGTACATCAGACAGGATTATTTTTTCTGTTTTGATGGAGGTATAGGCTCACATGTTCCACCTGCTCCCAGTCTTTGTGCTAAGCTAGGCTAAACACGTTGGTGTTGAGATACATTGAGTTAATAGAACATGTCGTCACGTGTAGACCATTTGTAAAGATCTTTATTATCTTTATTATTATTTATTAAATTGAATTATTATTATTATTATTATATTGTTGTTGTTGCTGTCTTTGCAAAGAGTCTCTGGTTCACAGCTACCAAGTCACCACTCGCACAGTAACATGTCTGTATTTATTTAACAGTGTTTATTTTCAAATACAAATAAACATAAAACACTTGAATGTTTCATATAAAAAAACAATTAATGACGTATGTACATGACGCTGTTTGGTGAAGGTTGAAATGCTGCAGGTTGTCGGGCTGACGTTGTGCGTTGGCAGACGAACATTGAGGTTCATGGATTAATAACGACAGAGGGTTGACAGTCAGATTAAGGCAGGTCTATGTTTTCACGCTTCACTCTATTGAAACAACACAACTACTGTAACGCTGAGAGATGATCAAGGAGCACTTCAATAAGAAATACACATATCTATCAGATTCCTAATTAATGAGATTAAAAAACCAAGGCAAAGATGTTTCCTGTTTTAGCCACTTTCCCACCAATTCTTTTAACATCAACGTTACACCTTTAATTCATCCATTGTCAGTTCTCAGATGTCTGATCTGTCGCAGTTAATATTTCATTACTAACTCAGATGTCAGTAAACAACATGTAAACAGCTGGAGGTAACACACACAGTAACTCAGAGGTGAACTGGCTAAAACAGGAAACACCAGCATCTACACTACACTGTCTTTACTGAAGTTTCACATGGTTCATACTGACTAAATATTACGTTGGCATGCTACGTTGGCATGTTACGTTAGCATGCTGCGCCTCCTCCTAAAGAAAAAGACGACTTTGGTAAGATTCCTCTCATGAAATAAAGTAAAATTGCATTAAGTCAGGAGCTGTGTCTCAATTCAGAAGGTGCGGCCCTTCATAGACTGCAAAGGCCAAACTGCCTGAGGCAATCTGGTCTACGGAGGATTTTTGCTGTATGTCACAAGCTATTCCCGCCCTTACTGATGCATCATAAAGCACTACTCCAGCTTCCTAGCAACACTGACAACATGTAAATTTTTTATCACAAAAACTTGAGGTTTTAAGGCCCTTGGTTTTAACAGTTGTACCGTTAGATGTTGAACAGAGCTGAAACCCAATACTGACATTTAACAGTGTAATCCTCAGGCTCTCTGTCAGTGTTGTTTGCTTTCTGACTGGCACGCAATGAATCCTGGGATAGGCTGGACCATGAAGGATCCACCTGTAGAGCCTTCATTGTCCAGGAAAATAAGAACATTTGAAGGAGCCTTCAAAGTGAGACAGTCTAGTCGCACCACTGTGACGCGATCGGTCTTCAAATGCAGCCTCTGAAGGATGAAGCCCCTGAATTGGGACACAGCTACAGCCTTAATAAACTTTCTGAAATTCATTTCTATTGGTTGATGACCTCGTAGCTCCATAAACCTGGAGTCTGTGTTTTCTGGAGCCTGGTAGTTGTCACAGAGGAAAACAATGTAAACACACAATAACAAATTGTGCTGTTGATGAGGGTGACAACTAACATTGATTTTCATTACTGATAAATCTTCTGATTATTTTATTGATTAATTGATTAATTGTTTCTGTCTGTTTAGAAAACAGTAAACATGCCCATCACAATATCTACAGGCGAAAGTAACAACATCACGTCTTGTTTGGTCCAACCAAAGGTCCGAAACCCCCCAAAATTTAATTTACTGGACTATAAGACCAACAAAAGCAGCAAATCATCAAATCTGTGCTTGAAAAATGACTAAAAAATCTACTATCAAAATAGTTGCAAATTAATTTTCTGTTGATTGACAAATCGTTGCAGCGCTACTCTTGTATTAATTACATGTGCACATGAATAGATAGATCATGCTCTGCACAACAGTTGATGTATTTGTGTGTTTAAGGGATATCAAAGACAATAGAGGTTAAATATAATAGTATATTGATCTATAGGGTGATTCTTTTCGTAACTGATTGACTGTTCAGTTTCAAATGCTAAAGAAAACAGCCTGTATCAGATATTTAATCATATACGACAAAGAAAAACAGTTAAAGATCACTTTCAGTATTTTTGCTTGAAAAATTATTTAATCGATCATCAAAATAGTTTCCGATTAATTCTCCTGTGATTGACTTATTGGACCTGGACACTTTAAATGAGACACTCTGATTTAATGCAGTTTGAATGAGAACATATTTATGGATTTTGAAATGTAAAGAGTAATGTCATGAATCAATCATTTGTGTTCACAATTAATTATTTTTGAATGTTTTATATCTGAAAGTGTGAAATGTATTACTTTGTGTGACAGCTACCAGGCTCCAGAGTTGTTAGACTGATGGACTGTACATTTTATACATCCTGTTGAGAGGGGGAATACGTAAAAAACATTTCTTCAAGTGACTAAATTCATTTGTTTGTGTGGCTCCAGACTCGATCAAATCATCTGAAAGTGATAGAATCTGTGTAGAATATTTGGTTTAACCTGGGAGACAAACTGAAACCCAAACTAGCTTTTGCTCACGTTAGCTGCAACTGAAACTCTCCATGATCCCTACAGCACTTGGTTTACTTTGCAACATTCAAGTGAAAACAAGAGAAGAAAATAAAGCACATCGACTTCAAATGAAGCCAGTTGGAACGCATGCCAGCATGCTGTCAGGTACAAACAGGAAGAAGAAGAAGAAGAAGAAGAAGAAGAAGAAGAAGAAGAAGAAGAAAAAGAAGAAGAAGAAGAAGAAAGAGAAGAGGAAGAGGAAGAAGAAGAAGAAAAGTGAGTCTACGAGATGAAGAGCACTTGATTCATTCAGATGTCGGATTGGACAGATTACCCTTTAACCCTTGAGTCAGTCTGAAGCAGTGAGCACCGGCCAATCAGATTCACAGCTCAGTCAAAGCTGTGTTGCTGTGGTAACACCACAGAGATGTGGCTCAGAACTAACAGCAGCAGGAAGAAGAAATTTGTCCCTTTAGTAAATCCTACAAAAACACGAGGTGACGGTTTTCAGAATCCACATGGTTTGGATCCAAAGTCCAGTCCATTTATGTGTACTATCAGATATCTTAAAATCCATCCAGTGTGATCCAGTGTGGTTTATTAAACTGTCTAATCTATCCAA